TGTCTGTCTTGTCGGTCGGTCGGTCGGTCGGTCGACTAGCTTCTTGTCTTTCTTTCTTTTTTTGTTGCAAAGGAAAATCGATCATGTCTGGAAGGGGAAAGGGTGGTAAAGGTCTGGGTAAAGGTGGAGCCAAGCGTCACCGCAAAGTTCTCAGAGACAACATCCAGGGCATCACAAAGCCCGCAATCCGCCGTCTGGCCAGAAGAGGCGGGGTCAAACGCATATCAGGTCTGATATACGAAGAGACCAGAGGCGTTCTCAAGGTGTTCCTTGAAAACGTCATTAGGGACGCCGTCACTTACACCGAGCACGCAAAGAGAAAAACCGTAACAGCCATGGACGTCGTGTACGCTCTCAAGAGACAGGGACGTACCCTCTACGGTTTCGGCGGTTAAAGGCCCACAGACTTAAACTTACGTAAACAACGGTCCTTTTCAGGGCCCCTCAATATATCGACGTCGAGTCTTAGCCTGTCGACGGCTGGCTGCCACATCAAACGAAACTATATCCCTTTTTTATTGTTCGCTTCGATGCCGTAATGAGCGATAATGTAATTATTTTTTTATTAGGCGAAACGAAATGAAAGCTGCTATTTTTCCAATTTGTTTGTACGTAAATACATTTTTACAAGATTTTTGGAAATCAAGCAAAACCTATAGTAACATGGTCATCACGTAAAAGTCAAAAGGTAGGCTACTTGCGAGAGGCAGGCCGTTGTGAAAACATTTCATGAAAACAGTTCAACAAGTACAAAAGTAGTCTTAAAACAACACATTAAATAAGATTAATCGTCGTTGTGAAAACAGTTCAACAAGTACAAAAGTAGTCTTAAAACAACACATTAAATAAGATTAATCGTCGTTCACTATGTGATTCAAAAAGTAGATGTGATAGAATACCTGGTTAAGCTATAAAATAATTAACGGATCGACGATATAATCTTCCAGAGAAAATTTTTAAATATTGTACGACAAAACGTCATTATACAAATGTTTGTGTTTGTTTCATTTATTTTATTTAATCACATTCATTCCTTCCATAAAGCTTACGAGACTGTTAATTTGGATGCTTGCTTACGATCGTAAATGATCACG